GTTATAATTAGCCTGAGTAATGCAAGGTGCCATCAGATTCATTTTACTTTCAAAGAAGACGTCCTGATAGATATGTTGCACACCATCTGGGTTAATTAAGTTAACTTAAACTATGACTTCCAATAAGATTCAAATTTGAGATTACTAGCCATCCAAACCATAAAACTTGCCTATTTATCTAGTATTGGAAACTGAAATAAGTTTCTTCTTCTATACTCATATTCAAATGATGCATTTAAGAAATTATACACCATGATTGATTCTAACAGGATTTCAGATTATTAAACTTTTAAAACATATAGGAAAAGAAAGAAAGAAAGAAAGTACAGATGAAGACGGTGCTGAAACTCTTTCAGGTCAAAATATTGTTAAGCACAATCCCAACAGCAAAACTCTTTATTACTAATTTTGTCACTCACGGCATTGCTTTTGACTTTGTTTTCCTCTTGTTTAGTCCTGCTCCACTCACAGTTCATTGTTCAGGTTTAAGTTGTTTCTTACTTCATCTTATCTATCTTCTCTATCTCTCTTTTTTTTCTTTTTACATCTTGAATTTTATATTTTATTTTTATATCACAAACCTTTTACTTCCTAAATAAAAATATTTCTTCATCATATCCTTTGAAAAGCTTCATTTCTTTCATTTAATCAGGATAACAAACTGAACTTACATGGATTTACAAGCAAAAAAGAAGTTGAAAAAAATGAATTTTCTTATGCTAGTCATGTCAATCTCAACTGTCTTAAGTAAGATTGAAAATATTATATCTGAGTTAACATGACACCTAAGCTCGGGCAGTGGCCCAAGAGCTTTGTGTTCATGGTCCATTGGGGGTTTGCTTGATTTATTTCTCGCTCAAGAACCTGTAATGACTAATGAGCTTAATGGCTTGGAAATTGGTGCCACCGTCTTAGGGTTGGAGAAGTTAAATAAATAGCACAGGAAGGGCAATTTAGTGAAGGCGAGGGCTAACCCAAATACACAAGGATTTATGTTTTGTGGGTTTTGTGAGGCTATGCCTTGACACAATCTGACAACATAGGAAGAAAAAGCCTCTTTTCACCTCGTAATTCCCTACTTCCTCCACTTTGAATAACCAAGTTTGGTTTGTCCCAAAAGTATGGATTATTCATTTTGAATAGAACAAGAATCAAAAGTTGGATGGCAAGAAATAAAATAAGTCGATAAATAACAACTGTGCTTTCTGTGCTGCAGGGAGCGGGAGAGTTGCTTTTTTTTTAAATCTTCTTTAACCATTTGGACTTCAGGACAGAATATCTTTGGTCAACCTCAACCTGACCGCAAATGTCCTGTACTACTATTAAGCAACCACTACGTTGTTGGACACGGATGGTTGGGCCTACTCTTCCAATTTCCACCAGACAGGCAATAATCCCTGCTAGATTCTGGATTAGGAAACCTGAAATGTGGAGTTGTTCCAGACTAGTTCCATTCCGGGTCATGTAATGACCTCCACCACCACACCCAATCTCACATCAATATAGAATTCCAACACTGTTAACAGTTGTGAAGCAGGCATGCCAGGTTTCTACAGAATCTTGATGGAAGCTTGGGAAGCCTAACATTCAATTTATTTAGTAGTACTTGAAAAGTATCCTTCCTTAGAGGTACAAGTTGGGTTGTTTGTTTCCTTTATGCAATGAAATTTCCTGGTTACCTCCAAAAGATTTTGATATGGATACAGCAATTCTTTTCTAAACGCACAAGGAACAATTTCCAGAGTCCTGTTTCCCAGAATTAAAGAAGCCTATCAGAGAAATGGATAAACGAAAAGGTTACACGATAAAAAACTTATGGGGAGGAAAAGATCAACCAAGTAGACTAGGGGCCGGGGGATTTCACCAAAGTCTGATATGTCGGCCATTTCCATTTGTCTTAATAGAGCCCAGCACGAGATAATTCCACATTGAACACCAATTGCACCATTACCTCGCTACG